ATCTCAATTTTATATTTTTAATAAGTGGTATTTTATATTACATTTTCTTATGTATTTTATTTTAATAGACTAATCTTTATTTTTTTAAATTTGAGAATACTTTTTGTATTTTGAAATTTTCATTCTTTTAAAAACAAAGCTAAACGTAGATAAGTGCCAAGTGGTCATATAAAAAAATGTCAACATTTAAATTAAGTACACTATTTTTTTTTTAAATCCCGATTAGTATTAATTATTCAAAAATAATGAACAAAAGCTGGTATCTTATTTTTTAGATGTATTATTTGACTAATTTAAAATTTAAACATTTGCATATTTACGCATTTTTTCACAAACAAATATATATGGCATATTAAATAAATGAATAAATCCATAAAAAAAAAAAAATAATGGTTAACGATTGTATAGTAGGTATTATTTTTTAATCTTTTATAACTATAAATATTTATAAATTTTAATAGCGTGACATTGAAGATAGTTGTACTATTTTTTAAGCAATGGCTAATGATTAGTCATTATTTCATCGATACTCATATTAAATACTATCGAATTTTTAGTATAAAAAAATTTCATAAACATATTACATGTACTTCATTTAACTAAAATTTATTTATAATATTTAAGTTGACGAAATAATATGTCTTTAATTTTTCTTATTCGGAATTGTATTGAAAAAATGGTTAAATCGATTGTATCTTCTGATTTTAAAATTTTAAATAAAACTTTTTTTGTTTTTTATTTTTAGTTCTACAACTATTTACATAATTTGTAAATATATTTTTATTGATTATTATACTGTTGGTTTTTATAAATACAGATATTACCTATGTAAATATGAAACAATATTAAATGCTTAATATTTACAAATATTATCAATAATAATCGTTATGTAGATTCTCAGACATTTCCCCCCAAGACACTCCTAAAAAAACCAATATAATTTGCATGTTAACGCCCTTCCTGAAATAATTATTATCATTAAAATCTATACATTGTTAAACTGTTATAATCTACGTGAATTTTTTCTACGTAAATACCACTCCTCAAAAGCTTTTGTGTTCATTGTTATTTCGTACCTTGGTATTAAATGTAAAAATTAAATTGTATTTACGATAATAACGAAAATTTATATTTAAACCGTATGGAGCGCAAATCGCAAATATTAAAATACTAAAAGAGCAATGTTTAATAATAGTGGTTAAGTAAATAGGTTTCAATATCTTAAGGTTTTCCATACGTTCTAGAGGTACTTTAGAGAAATTTGATGTTTCCTTCCAAGTGCAATTTTATAATATACGTGATTATAACTTAAAAATTATGTATACTAATTGGTATAGTATATTACTATATTTGTGGAGAATTTCAAATATTTTAAATACTTTTTGCGGGTTTGATAAATCGGATTTCAATTGTTCTTTTTTCAATTAATTTTGTTCAAAAAAAAAAAAAATAAATAATGGTTTGAGCTTCTGAATTTTATTTTTTAAGTAGATATTAATTTCCTTTTCAAATTATTTTACACTGTTTACAGTATTATATATTTAATATTTATATTCTATAAACTACAGATGCCAATGAATAGAAGATTGCAACTTCAATATCAAAAGTATAATAATGTTAATGCAATCTGTAATCATTAAGTTTTTGTATTTTCCAGTTAATTATGTAGGTAGCATATTATGTATATAATAATATACATACTAGGACCTAACTTACTTATTACCTTGATTTCTTTGGGACTCAATTTACTGCTTTCAAAATGTGCACCAATTATCGTGATAGTAATTTTCCTAGCTCGTTTTTTGTCTCACAGTAATTGGGTAGATTGTGTGAGATAGAGAGTAACGGCATTCCTTATTTCGTTTTTCGTTCGTTACTTCGGAACGTTAGAGTTAGATGGCTGGTTGTACAAATAATTTGTTTAGTACAATTTTAATATGTGATGTATGAACGCATTCCATAATTTTTAGAGTATACCCATGGCCCATAATCATAATTAGATTTGCTGATGCCTCAGCAAATAATAGTTATTGTATCTCTCTACAGAGAGACTCTATCCGCAAAAGAATGAAACATTTTAAATTTTGTTTTTATTCATAATTTTGAATTACTAATTGATCACATATGCTGACAACTTTTCATTTTCTTTTTTTCCAAGAGTTTGAATGGTTTTATGAAGTCATTTTGTTTTTATTCTGCCGTAGTTATTGAAAATAAAAAGTTTTTACGATTATTTTATTATAATTGTTATTAATATTTCAGCAATTGAAACATCTTGATAAATGTTATTACTATATAGCAATTATATTAGTTTAACATGTAATTAAATTATGGCCTATGGGCTATGGGTGTGTGAATGACTATTTTATGAAATAAATATTGTTTTTTTTATATTCGTACCTATACACATAGTAGTGACTCATGTATTAACTATAAAATGGTAAATACTATTTTTTACTTTTAAATTTAAATTTCACAGAATAAATATATTTATGTCATATATACTTAAGTTTTAGAAGTCATGAGTACACAATTTATTTATTTCGTACAATTTTGTTCTGAAATGTGCACCCCTAAGTAGTACACGCTCTAGGATCTGCGCAGTAAACCCTATCCATGAGTTTATTAGCTATTGTTATTAATTATTATATTCATGCATTTTAAATTGTGAATAGTAATGGAATTAGGTAATAGATAAATGTAATACAGTACACACTAATACAAAACATTTATGATTAATAGTAGTACACTATTACCTATCTACCTAATGCGTTGAGATAAGTTAATATATTTTAATCTATTGGGGTTCTATTTTTGTGATGGGAAAATTCGTATTATAATTGTCACGCTCTTATATTTAGCTTTGTCTCGGTTCTAAAAATGGTGGTATTTTAATTATTAATTTATTTAATTTTAATATTGAATATTTTAAAATTTCCCTTCTTAAGTTTAGTTGACGATTAAGAAGTTATTACGTCATTACAGCTGCACGTAGAATGTATAGGATAACAAGGACAATTTTTTTTCTTGTAATTTATTCAGGGCCTTATGCCCTCATAAATACGTCTAAGGTCTACAATAAATATTTCTATCAATTATCCGTTAATATACACATGGTATGAGGTAATGCATTATGCTAGTATATTACACAAGTTCTAATGTTAATCATAATTCATACACCATGAGTTATTACGTTTATATACGATAACATCATAGACGCCAATTACTTATTGACAGATAATGTAAGAAATTCATAAAGTTTACCCTATAATTTTCAAATTCTAATGAAGATATTTAACTTAAAAAAAAATTGTATAGGAAAAAAACGTAGTTCATCGATTAAATTAAAGTGGATTTTACAACTATGATTTTTATTGTTATTATCTGTTATTTATTTTTAGAAAGAATCAGTAGATCTAGCATTAAAGTTGTTAGATGGTTACGTATTTCGTGGAAAAGAGATCCGTGTGGAAAAAGCAAAATTTACAATGCGCGGAGAAAAATATGACCCATCATTAAAACCAAAAAAAAAAAAGCGAAAAGACAAAGAAAAGATAAAAAAAATTCAAGAGAAGTACACAATTTTACTATATTAAACAATAATCTGATATACATTGCATATTAAATTCTTAGAATAAATTGATTTGTTTTTCTCAAGGTTATTTGATTGGAGGCCTGACAAAATTATGGGCGGAAGAGGAAAACATGAAAATGTTGTAATTGTTAAAAATCTATTCGAAAAAGAAACATTTGATAATGATGTTTCATTACTCTTAGAATATCAAAGAGATCTCAGGGAAGAATGTTCAAAATGTGGCGTAGTAAAAAAAGTAGTTGTGTATGATGTAAGTATATAATAATTTATGATAAATTTCCAGTTATTATTTTATTTAAACTGTTTAATACCTATTTTTTTTACATTGTTACCTCATCTCAAACTTTAATTTTGAATTTAGATTATTAACTCCTGTCAAAAACTAAATTATACTTATGTATACTCTATTTTCACATCATGTAATATATTATATCATATTAAATAAAGAAAATATAGAGTAGGCGACCTGCCAACTAAATCTTGCTTGTAAAGGGAAAATAATTGGACAGCCAAAAATATTTTTTTTTAATGCTGATTTTTTACACATGATAGACATTTGATCTATTTTTAAGATACTGTTCATTGTTTATCGCTATTTGCAATAATAGTTATAATAACACAATATTTATTAACTAATATTTAAATTCTTTCTGGTTCTCAAAAATATTTTATCTTATTACCTGGATCACCATAGAATTTAATTGACATACTTTTGATATAGAGATATACGAGTATGTCTTGATGTCTATAGATTTTAGGGTTTGAATGATTAAAATAAATTTGAAGCATTAAGTAAAACATTTTTAGATGCACAGATCAATTATCAGGTATCCAAGATTAAATAAATAAAACTATGTTGAAATATTTTCAAACTTATAAGTTAATAGAAATAATTTTTAATTATATACTATTTCTTCTTTTTAAAGAGACATCCAGAGGGTGTTGCTCAGATTAATTTTAAGGAACCTGATGCAGCTGATGCTTGTGTGCAACTATTAAATAATAGGTGGTTTGGGCAAAGAAAGATTACTGCTGAAACGTGGGATGGAAAAACTAAATACAAGTGTGTATAATCAATTTAAATAATTAAAAACAGTCAATTTTTAATTATAATTTATATTTAAATATTTTTTTACTTTTTAGAGTTACTGAAACACCTGAAGAAACTGAAGAACGTTTAAAGAAATGGGAAACATATTTAATAACCACAGGTAGCACTGAAAAGAACGATGGTCATGAATCTGATAGTGACTCAGTAAAAACGAAAAGTGGCGGAGAAAGTGATGATGAAATGCCATCAACTAATCAGACTACGAATAATGAAAAAGGTTTTTATATAATATAAAATAATATATAATTAATTATAGGTAATAACAAATTTATGAGATATTATTAAGTTAAAAAATAAAAATAAAATATAATATATTATAATAATTATTTAATTTACAGATAAGACCAAATCAAATTAGTCTTCTCCAGCAGGTATAGCGTCTTCTAATCTTTTGTTGAACTTAATTCGCAATTCAGTGGCCAAATCACCTTTAAGTTGATCTTGCACAAACCAACAAGACACATCCATTTGTACCTAACATAAAACAACGAATTATATTACTTTTAATTGTATTTTTTGTGTAAAAAAATTATTTGGACACTTATATGGATTGTAAGAATACAACTTTTAATTATATCTCAACATAATAAAACACTAGAGAAGAATATTAAAGACATATTTACAGAATAAAAAAAAAATTATTTTGTATTATTTCCTAATTCTAGTATAGGATAATATTTTGTAATACATTCTAAATAGATCCTAAGTGCCATTATCCTCTTTTATAAAATTATTTTTATTTCATTGAATTTAACATTTAAAAAGTAATGTAATAAATTCATAATTTAATTATATTTATTTGATTATCTTAAATAATAAATTTATTTAAATCTATTTTATTTTTTACACAAAATAAATTTTGCATATTAACTTCCAATTTCATTTTTATCATAAAAAATCAGTCTTCAAGTATCCAACTAATAGTTATAATTTATTATACTACACATGCCTATTTTAAATAATATATCATAAATACCATTTCACATGATCCTCTCAAGGCTCCACAAAGTATATTGCTATATTTGAGATTTTGATAATTATCTGGCAGTTCAACAAACTCAGTTAGTGGATTAGTGTCAAATGTTAAGGAAAATTCATCTCCAGCAGCACTCCAATTAGTTAAAGCCGGAGTTATACCCAAGTACATTTTAAACGCATACTAAAATAAAAAGATTATGATAAATTATGAATACTTCAAAGTTAAGTAATTAGGGACAAAAAAATTTAAATATATACACGACTCTAACCTGAATTTTATCTGCAGTTTCTCTTAAGTCATAACATCTTCCAGCATTAGTACGTGCTAAAAAATCTTCAACCATTCGTACTCCAATATTATAACCCATTCGATCTAACTGTTTGTTTACATCCTCAACATTTTCATAGTCTTTCATTAATTGTGACACTATGGCTCCATAAGTTAATGTAAATAACTCGGAATTCTGGAAAACAATTAGTGAATTAATTAACATTTGAATAAGTATGATGTACTTACTATATATATAAAAAAAAGAAGTATAGTAGCAATAATAGCATAAGATTTAAAACATTTAATTTTAATAAGTATAATATTTAAGAAAAAAGTAATGAATATTCCTAAATCTTGAAAATTAATTATATTATAATAAAGTTGGTTACCAAATATTTTATCAATACTATAAAAATTTTTTTTTGAATAAGTCAAAAATATTTTTTAACAAGTAGAAAAATGAACTAGGAATGTCAATGGTCTGTATAATAAATGACTGGTGTTGAAGGTATCTTGTTGGCTGTTTTTAAATAGCGAATAGATTTAATTCTAATGATATTAGTTCAATTTGATGTTACTTGATATGAAAATAATTTGGTATCAAATGGAATAAATACTTACAACTTTCTTAACGTCTAATCTTGTGTTCTGTCGGGACATGGTAACCGTAGATAATCGTAGACAAGATAATAATTATACAAGACCAAAGATTCCAGTAACAAATATAACAGAATAGAAAATTTAAAATTCTATATTTCCACTAATAACTTGAATTTTTTCGTAAAGATTGGAGAATTTTTTTATCAGTTTCTCATCTGTTATAATCACTTTATATGACCGATGATAAAAAGATAATATTATCACAGAATAATTTCAGTGATATTATCTTAAATAATGATATTGTGACTTAATAAAAGTAAAAATATCTAAGTGCTAAATTTTTAAATAAAAATAAGAAACTTTACAATGTGAAGTACTGAATTGTCTTCACTCTTTATCGGCCACTTGATAGCGTAACTTAGGAATCTGTATGATTAAGTTGTGAGAAAAAGTAAAATAAAATTTCTTGAGATTATAGAATTATTTTGATTTTTATGGTCTGATGATAATCAAAGAATTTTAAATGTTTCCATTTGTTAAAAATGCAATAAAATCTTGATTTAAAATTCAAAAAACAAAATAAATATGGAAAATTTATTCGGATTTCTAATATTTCTTTTATCCAAAATTCAAATGTTGATATCAGGTTTGTTTTTTTTTAAATAAAAAACATAACCTAATAATATTGTAATTTGTACTTTGTTTACTTTTTGATGAATGATATAGATTCAGATTACCGGTAAAATATTTCTAGTTTTTTTCTGTTGAGTTGTACATAATTTTAAAAGTTAAATAATTTAATAAATACCAGCAATATGAATGACGCTGATACTTATAAATCGTATTTAAAGCGCACAGTTTATGTAGGTGGATTAGCTGAAGAAGTTGATGATAAAGTATTGAGATCTGCGTTCATTCCTTTTGGTGATATAGTCGATGTCCAGGTAATGTTCTCATCAACATGTAGTGTGTAGATCAGTATTGGTTTTCATTAATAAATATAAATTATAAAATGTATTATTAATTATAGATGCCATTAGACTATGAATCTGAGAAACATCGAGGATTTGCATTTGTTGAATTTGAACAACCCGAAGATGCATTGGATTCTATTGACAACATGAATGAAGCAGAGATATTTGGCCGCACTATTCGTGTTAATTTAGCAAAACCTCAAAAAATTAATAGAGGCTCAACCAGACCTGTATGGTCGGAAGATGACTGGCTTGTACAGTATGCTGGTAAGACATTGGAACCCAAGGATGATAAAAAAATTGAAGAGGATAAAAGCAAAGACGAAGCAAAAAACCCACAAGTTTATCTCGATATTAAAATTGGTAAAAAGGATGCTGGTCGAATTATCATCATGCTACGAGCTGATATAGTGCCACGTACAGCAGAAAATTTCCGTTGTTTATGTACTCACGAAAAGGGCTTTGGGTATCAAAACACTACATTTCATAGAATTATTCCAAATTTCATGTGTCAAGGCGGTGACATTACTAATAACAATGGTACTGGCGGACTATCAATTTATGGAAAAAAGTTTGATGATGAAAATTTTGAACTAAAACATACTGGCCCAGGAGTTTTATCTATGGCTAATTCTGGGCCTAATACAAATAGTTCACAATTTTTCATTTGTACAGCTCGTACAGAGTGGTTAGATAATAAACACGTTGTGTTTGGCCATGTGTTAAGTGGTATTGATGTCATGAAGAAAATAGAGAAATGTGGGACGAAAGCTGGTTTGCCAACTGAAAAAGTAATAATTGGTTCTTGTGGACAGTTAGCATAATGCCATTTATATTGTAATAAGATATTTTATATACATTAATTTTATATTTTACTCATTAATGTAATTTATCTTTTTCAACATGTATTAATTAATTTTGTAAATTATGTATTTAAAAATTAAATGTTTTAAAAAAAATACCAAGTGTAATATTAAGTAAAATAATGTTACTTTCTTAATTTATCATAAATTAAAAAATGATAACTTTATTTTATTTTACTTATAAAATATGGTATATAAATTATTGTTGCAGTGAGATAGGAATCTACAAATAAATATTTATAGCCTTGGGGGCACCCACCTTTAATACTGAACATAAAATTATAAATTATAACATTAAAAAAATTTGAGATGAGATCTGATTTTTAATAAAGAATTTCTAGTTATTTAATCTATAACCAACACCACATACAAAATCATATATGTTATAAATAGATAGCATGACAAATTCAAATACCTACCATTAACTGGATCTATCTAAATTTTTAACATGATTAAACTTTTTTGTATATTATAAAAGAATAATTAGGCTTATAAAATGTTTGATTTATTATATATTCTATAATAGTTAAATCGTGATTAAACTAATACTAAAAATATTATAATCGCATACAATTAATGTATGATAAATTATTTAAAAAAAAAAAATAATTTTTTTAAATTAACTTGTTGAGTTTTTGTAGTTATATTATAATATTGAATCATTAATGAAGTATTTTAATATAGTTTATTGACCATTAGACTTAGTCACATAATAATTTTTAATACATTACCTAATAATTTATTATTTAAATTTTTAAACATAGTAATTCATCAAAATGGTTTCACTTATAATAAATTAAAACAGATTGCTTAATATAAAATTTATATATTTGTTTGTGTCAATTGGCCTAAATAATTTTTCTTGTGTGAATTTGTCTTCTTCTTCCAAAATTCACTATGTTTTTCAAATTTAAATTTTTCTTTTGTATCAAGGTAATGCTTGAGTTTTGAACTAAAAAAAATTACGCTTAAATAAATTTCATATACAAAGTAATTCTTTAGACAAACATTCTTAATGTATTATTGTTTTTAAAAAATTATATTTTTTTGTTATTATAATTTTATAAGTTCTTTACTTTTTTGAATCATAACAAATAGTACACCTGAAGCAGAATATTATTTGGAGTATTTTAATACATAAAAATCAAAATTAAGATTAGTAGCTAGTGAATAACAGTTATAAATATTATAAGTGGAGTAGAATGGTACAGGGATACACTCTACAAAATGTTGGTCTACTACTCTAATCACTAATTTATAACTCATAAACTACTCGTCCAAATTAAGATTTTTATTATAAAAATACTTGGAAAGTATTCTGCTTCAGAACATTAAATTAAAAATACATTATGATGTAATTTAAAAAAAGTAAAAAATTTATATTAATAAAATAATGTGATTTTATTTTAACTGGAAATTATGAAAAAAATATATTTTCATTCATTCATAGATTTTGAAATAATGAGTGGTTACTTGATTGAGGAACTACCCAATTTACACATAAAAATAAAATTGAACATTACCCAATGTCATTAACAATATTTGTATCACATGAAGAAATCCAAACAGATATTTTATTGTATTGACGCCTATTATAAACAATACCACAAATATAATCATCGTATGGATCATACATGCCTCCAATCATACTCAACAACTACAATAAAAAAATAAATATTATTAGGTACAATAAAATGTATATGGTAAAATAAATATTACAATATCCATCCAGTACTGATCTAATAGTCCATTATCCTTTATTAACCATCGTCCACCATTCTTGTTTGTCGGATCTTCCCACATTGGTTTTATATCTGATTTAAATACAGAGTAATCACAGCCAATCGTTAACATACTCGGCATTTTAATATGATTAAATATGCTGTGAAAGTAATAATTTAAAAATAAATATTAAATGTATGCTCATTTCTTTAATACAGTTTTTTTTACATCTAAAGTAAAATAATACAAATATATTTTTCTTAAGAGGAAAATATATCCTATCAATATTAGCTATATTTTTTTTATATTTAGCTTAGATAAAAATTTAATTCTGTTTCTATTAAATATAGATATAACATTAAAATTTAAAATACATGAAGTCAAATATGGATAATGTAAATATTATTAATATTGACCAATTTTAATAATATTTGAAATTTGTAACATAAATTTTTGATTTAAAATATTAAAAAAACAAAAACAAAAATACATAGATATAAAAGGTAATTAAAAAAAATCAACATCACTATATTAATAAATATCCATGTAAATTAACACAAAACAATTATGAGACAGAACTTGAAATAAAATTTTATTGCAGGTAATCATTTTAAGAGTTGTCAAATTAAAAAAAAAATTAGAGTATTATTATATTAACTTAAAGGTATGGCAATTAAACAACTAAAAGAAGAATGTTTTGCTAAAAAACTATTTATTTCTATTTGCAATTTACAAGTCAGTAATAATCACAACGCTTATTTAAAGATTTACAAGCAATACCAAGTACATCTTGTAAGTTATGAACTTCAAGTAATATTATATTTATATATTTTGTTGGTAATTACTTGCCTCCAAAATTTTTCAACACTGTCAAACTCACATAATCCATGCAAATTATTGATCCAGTTGACATCTGGGACCACAGTTCCGCTGAATTTCCAATACCAAAGTTTCCAAGAATCGTTCAACAAATGAACATTGCTTACCTCGTCTTCAGTAATTAGTGACATTACGTCTATATTTTGCAAATCTGTACTCTGTAGCGAGACGATCGCCTATAAAATGTGTCATGATATAGTGGTTTTATGGTGTTAATAATAACTTATATTTAGGAAATGTTATGGAATTAAAATCAATAAGTACCACCTACCTCGATTATATAAGCTTTATAAAACCATCAACATCAATTCGGTTAAGAACGGATTTAATTTCTGAATATCACGCAACGCTGGTATTGAAGACGGATTTAAATTAATACAAAAATATTAAATAATAACAAAATGTAAAGACTGGAGCAGACGTACGGGACTACGGTCCTCAATTATTAAATACTAGGAAAAACGGTCGTCGTAAATAGCTAATTCAGTACGTAACTTTTAGATAAATTGACGTCGCGGCTGTTCCATGTGACAGCACTGTTAAGTGATTATCATCAATCGTCGTATAGGTACCTAACGAGTGACGATACAAGTCTATTTCTATAAGCCTTGCCTGGCCTGACGACTATGTAATGACTGTAATACTGTAATATACTTGAATACTTCAATATTCAAATACTTGACACTTGACAGTTGACACTAGAGTACTAGGCACTAGTACGTATTTAGTATATACCTAATATTAGTATAATTGCTTAAATGCCGTTAAATTGCAAATATTTTAGGTACCTACTATTATTTAATATTAATTAATAATTATTTATTTTATAAGGTACTTGAATATTTCTTTGTATCTTCAGATCTTCTTGTACTACTTGTTGTGTTGTCTCTCAAATTTCGTTAAGTAGGTGATTATTACTCACACTTACACGAATACGAATACAAAAAACATTTTACAATGCTTTCCAATTACAATTTAAATCGACAAAATATTATACAATTATAAAAATAAATCACAGATTACTGAATACCTACATACGATTACGTTATAAATTATAATTAATACTTAATTATTAATTGTGCTTTTTATTTTTTAACCGTCTTCTAGTGTATTATATTATACCTAAGTAATATGAATTAAATTTCAAAGTGTCTGATTTTTCACCATTGAGCTCAATCAAATAAGTAAATACTTAATTAAATTCTAAATTCGAAAAATTATAGCAATTATTAGACTCAGCCTCAGTTGCTCCTTTCAATCTCCTTCAAAGACTTGGTTAATGGTTAAGTTTTTTTAAATATCCACTATAAAAATATTTAAAGAATTATAATTTTCATAAGAACAAAATTAAATATGAATACTTGGACAGTTGGACTATCACTAAAATTTATAGAATCACTAGAATCCAATTTTTTTCATACAAAATAACTAACTTAATCTATAAATCAGTGTTTCCCAGCCGGCGTGCCGCGGCACCGGGCACACTGGTTTGCCGTGAGGCCTCTATCGATGTGCCACGAAATTATAAATTACCATTATTAAATATTAATCAACCTTTACGAATAATTTCGATAATTGATTAAAATATTTTTAAAACTTGGATTTCTTAGAAGGCTCATGGTGTGCTTCAGTATTTCAGTACTTCAGATATTCATTATTCAGTACTTGTTAACAATGTTAACCATTGGACTACGAAGGATACTCATAAGTTATAATGAAGGGAAAACAGTCCCAAATTTCTCACTAAGACTAAATTTTTTATGAATTTATAATGTATCTTGTTTTTCGACTTCAATAAATTAAATATTTATGATAATTTTAATATTTTTTTCTTATCCTAGATAAACACACCATCTTAAATTGTAATAACTGATATATTACTACTTTCGTATTAATAATTATTACGATGAAAGCCTACTATAAAAAATATGTTTACAAATATGTCATTGACAAGTGTCCCACTGCAGAATATTAGTTGGCATTAGTGTACCGCAAGGGAAAAAGGTTGGGAAACGCTACTATAAATCAACTTACTACTTAGTCAATGGGTTCTGTTTTTTAATAACTTTAAAATTATTAGTCTGTAATTTATTTAAATTTTAAGAAATTGTTATCTTGTACAAATATTAATTACATTTGTTTTCTTAATCGATTGTTATCATATTTTACTTTAGAATGAAGAAAAAACAAATATTTAGGTACTTTTTCTAGTTTGGTATTTGTATATAATTTTGTGAACTGTGTATAATGAATTAATTATTTAGTAAAACTTAATTGAAATATATCTAAATGGCCAAAGAAAATTCAATTTTCAAATGGCAATATTAAATATTTTCATAATAGCTATCAATTGTAGCTGCAAATAATTGGCATATTTTTAAATTAAAAAGAATATTTCAACAAGTAACCAAAAGTAAGGATCTTTATTTTATACAAGAGTGGTTTATTGTTTAGTTATATTCTTTTGGTTTTAATAATTTATACTCAGGTAATTGAGTAATTAAGTGTTAATCTACAATATTTCACAATAGAGGATGGTAAGATTTGGATAGACCAGATATATACATTATACACGTACGTACGCTAATGTACAGAAATAGTTAATATAAAATTTAATTTGCATCTCTAATAAGTCTTGTTTATTTAAATATTTATTTTTCACTTTAAATGCATTGTATTTTCAAATACATTAAAAATTTGTTAAATTATAAAACAAATGTATTTTTTGTAAATGATCCTTGTTTATTAGCTGTATCTGCATGAGTCTCATAAACCATCTTTTCATTTTGAGCGCCCAAAACTTCTTTTATTTTTCTTCTAAAATATAAATTAAATAATATTAATATTAATATTAATAAACTTAAAATAAACATTTGTTGTTTAAACAATTAAATTGTACAATAGGCATGTAACATGTAGGGTTAAGTTTGATATAACTAATATATCAAAGTTAATTAAGTTATATACATTTTTTTTTTTTTTTTTTGGTACTATTAAGTCCAAGCTTTGATTAAAAATAACATCCTACGTATTATTATTAATTACTTATATTGTTTTCTCAGTATGCTAAATTCTATACCATAATATACCAGTAGAAAAATGACCTATACATTTATTCTTTCATGAGTAGACAAATTCCCCCTCAAAAAAAAAAAAAGAAAAAAAATGTAATTAATCAAGCCATGATATTATAACTTTAATAATTATTTTTATTATACAAGCAATTTTATCTTTTTATTTTAATATAATGCAAATCCTGAAACAGAATAACTTAAATATAAAGATTATTTTTAAATTAAAATAAAATTTAAGATGATAATACAAATTTAGTTTGTAGCCTTAAAGTCTCAATGTATAGTTATTAAATAAACTATTGACAGTTATAAGCATATTTACTGATAAGACAACAAATTTTCCATTATCGTAGTAAAATATAATATAAAAATATAATGGAAACTTATGTTTTATAATAGTGATAGCACAAAATAAATTAAATTTATAATTCATGTCATAATTATAAGATATTATGAGGTATCAAATAAAACATCACTCTTTACATACCCAATAGCCATAATGTTACTTCCATTTTCTTTTGATGCGTTGTTTGTCCATACTGCTATTTTGGTTCCTTTGCTTCGTACGTTGACTATAGCTCCATTAATTTCAGAACTTTGGTCATATATTTCACCAATTATACTCAATATCTAAAAGTAATAATATTAATAAATTAAAATTAAATAAAAAAAAGGTTTGTTTTCCTTACTATATTTTTCCAGTATTCATCAACAAGTTGGCTATTTTTTGCTGGCGGTAACTGCAATAACCAACGTCCCCCAGCACTATTTCTTCCATCTTCCCACATAGGTTTGATTCCATTTTTAAAATAGTTGTAATCACATTGGTAAGAAAGTTGACTTGGACGTTTAATGTGATTAAATAGGCTAAAATGTTAAAAATTGTTATTTTGTATAATTAGGTTTTTTATTAAACAAGTTAATTTTATTGAAGTAATTTACATAATAAAAAATCTCTAAGATTTAAAATAAAATTATGTTATTTTTTATTTTATCTATAAATTATTCATCTTATATTTTTTATTAATAGTAAACAACTTTTTATTTTACAAAGGAAGAGAAAAACAATTTATACAATAAGTTATTATGATATCAAAGTACAATACAATATAAATCACCAATTATATTATTACATAAAATTATTAATAAAATACTATGTGTGCCACACAAAAAACTTATTGGAAAAAAAGAAAGTTATATAAATGTATAACATTTATCACTGGGAAAGTGAATATACATTACACAAAATATGTATAAAAAAATAAATATCATCATAACATAATTACGATACAAAACAAATATTGTTTTTATTTTAATTTAAAATATTGTATTTATTTGTCCAGATTTTAATTTATTTCTAATTGTTTTACACTTTATACTAGGAAGGCTAAGATATAAAGTTACATTTTGAAATATCTTAATTGGACAAATGTTAAAAGGTTAAGTCAGGCTCAGGAATAAAGAGAACTTACCACCAAAAATCTTCAACAGTATCAAAACTAGCAACTTCGTGTATATTTTCTTCCCAAACTTTACTTTTATTTTCATAGAACCAAAGTGTCCATTTATTCTCAAGTGGATGTTTAACAACTAATTCTGCAACAGCAGGTTCAGCTTCAGGTGGCTGTTCATTTTCAACTTTTGGTAATTCATTAGCCTGATGAGCTGGTTCTCCCTAAATTAATATGATAAAAGATAATTAAAAATAAAACTTATTATAAAGAAAAAAAATGATTAAACAATTATATTTTAGCAAAAAATGGGCATTCCTAAAGAATTATTCTTTCAAAATTAATTTCAGAATTGATGAGATATAAATATTTAAAATAATATTGTTATAAACTTAAGCATAGAATCTATTACTCATTTTTTTTAATATAACTGTTATACATAAAAAAAAAAAAATGTCTTAAATTAACTATCTTATTCTTATAAGGGAATTCAGTTTATAAATAATTTTACATTTACACATTGAACATTAAAATTAAAATCATTGGAAACTTTCAATATAATGAACAATTTGTTCAGTGAGAGAAAATGCCAAAAATGGAAAAATTAGACTCTTCTGCAAACGGTTTACTATTGAGAAAAGTTTCCAACAGAAAGAGGAGATTCATTAAAATGGAGATCTTTCACTCGACATATAAAAATAATTTTAGTACATATATAGTCCTAAAACATAAAAAAAAAAAGAAGAGTATGGAAGAAATGTCTTAGAAGAATTTGTCAACAATTTATATTTTACTAGTCATACCTGCAGCTTTTGATCAATTACCTTATTCTAAAACTGTGTTTAGTTAAGTATATTTACATTCCTAATTATATATATTTCATAACCAAATATTTATTCAATAATAATAGCTATACGAGTAATCTTAAAATTTATATTAATGGCTTAAACATATATTTTAACTTTAAAAGTAATATTATAACTAAAATCAGGTATGATGATATAAAATTATTAAAACCATATTTCTCACCTCAACCATATTTGTACGCGTATTCTTCAACTGTTCTTTGATAAATTAAAAATTTAAATAGTGTGGATTTTCAAAATAGGTACGTAATGAACATTGACAAAATATCAAGTAAAATGTATTCAGAAAATAAAAATAAGTTAAATTTTATGTAGAAAAAAAGCAACTATATAATACGTGATTAGGAATGAGACCATGGTATAGAAGATGAAGAAATAAGACCACGTTAACAGTTTAGCCACATGCACATTTTTTGAATATTTAGGATACAACAAATGGAGACACCGGAAAGATGTAAACATAATTTCTCCAGTCTTGAAATACGGAGTCAAAAGTATGAGCTATGTACTGTACAATGGAGTTTGGAAAGAATTAAGGTTGGTCACCGATTTATCGTTTGTCAGTGACTGAGTTTATGGTGTCAGACGTCAGTCGTCCGGCTAACTACTGCTAAGTGATATAATAATTATTGTATTTGGTTTTTTTATTCAGCTCGCGTTTTAATTTTCTCATCTGTTATTGCCGTAATTACATAATGCTGTTTTCTGCTGGATTCCATTTGTAATAAGTACAAATATTCAGATAAACTGATGTTCCTACTTCGATCGAACTTCTAGGCAAGTAGTACATATATATTTGTTTATGTAATTAAAATTATGTTTATTTTTTTTTACGAAATTAAATAATTTATTGATTTATTTATATAGTATTTCAACACCCTACTGATCAATATGGAAGAGGAAAAAGTTACTTCTGATGTTCCTGAAAAGCGTAAAGTTGAAGATGACAATATAAATCCTAAACCTAATCCTAAGCGTATTAAGCTAGTTCGACCTGTATTTTCACCTGTTGCCAAACCTCCAATCTCCACAACCTCAGAAGTTGATAAATCTGAAACTCAACCTATAGAAATACCAAAATTTAATATACAATCAACAGAAATATCTAAATCTACGACCCAACCTATAGAAATACCTAAAACTACTGTACAACAAACAGAAATACTTAAAATTAATGTAAAACCAACAGAAATACTTAAATTGAACAATACTTCTGATTCAAAAGTTTCAACTGAGGTTGAAGTTTTAAAATGTATTGAAAAATCAGTCGATCAAACAGAAATAATAAACACAACAATTGATGCTCCAGAAGTCGTTAATAAGCCTACAGTCACGATTGACAATCCTGACGAACAAATTGATAACAGCTCTGATGCTTTATGTATAAAAAATATATTTAGTGAAGAGACAAAAAAAGAATTAGAACATTTAAAAAAAAATATTTTCAAAATTGATGATGATGGATCATCCTCAGAAAATGATAGTCAACCAAAACGACCTCGATTAAAGCGACCTACCTTTGTTATGTCAACTGTTGAAGCTAAAGTTGAACCTACTGATTCAAAAATATTTGATAAAATAAATGAAACGTCTAGGTTAGATTCAGAAAAATCTGATTGTGAAAATAGTTTTAACAAAAATACAGAAAAACTTAATGAAAAACTATTAAGTGCTGAAGTAAATATTGATCAAGTTACAAAAAATATTAATGAGGATATAAGATTAAATCAGTTGGGGGAAGTCAAAATTTATGTTGAAGACATACTCAAGAAACAATCTAATAAAATTGCAAATATTAACAAAACTGAAGAGAAATCTACCACGTGTAATTCTGTTGTTAAATTAGTTGAAAACAAAATTGATATAACAAAAAGTATTGAAAAAGATAATGTTCATGATGTTGATAAAACAAAGCCTATCCAAACAGAGACTATTGTACAACAATTAAATGAGTTAAAAGAAAAAGATAATTTATTAGTTGAAGAAAAATCTATTAATAAGAAGGTTAATTTAATAGTAGAAGAACAAAAATGTATAATAAAAGAAAAGTCAACTGAAGAAAATATTCCTAGTAAAGGTACTTGTGAAAACATTTCGGACGCTAATGTTGTGAAAGAAAATGTCAATGACAACTATAGGGTGATTTTAGAAAGATATGTTGACAAACAAAGTAAAGCACAAGATAAAAACCCCATTCCAACAATTGTAAAACTTACAGATGAAAAATCTACAATAGAAACTAGTTATAAATGTATTGATAAGTATCATAAAAGCAATGATGAAATTATTATTGAACATGATATTCGTAATAAAATAAAAGATAAATTAATTGATTCACAATTAGATAATTTACAGAAAGCTGATGATATTGCTTGTTTAGAAAATAAAAAACAAGACTCTCAAAAAAGTATACATGTTGACGATGATAATAAGGTCTCTACTATTATGTTATCAAATGAAGTACTAGATAATGATATAAAACAGAATAATGATGAAAAAGACTCTCAAATGTTTAAATCTGATATTTTAAAAGCAGCTCTTATGTCAAAAAAATCTGAATTGCTTGGAAATCCATCAGAAGCTAATGATCAATCTTCTGCAAATGAATATCTATCTGTGTTAGAAACTAAACAAAATGAACATTTACCAAAACTTGGTCAAGATTCTATTGTTAATAAAATAGAAGCTGAAATAAAACTTACTATTAATGATCAGACAACTAAAATTAAAAAATCACAAAATAAGATTCTTAGCAATGTAACGGAAATGTCTAAAGAAGTATGTAGTTCTATTTGTCTTGATGAAAATACAACCGTTGGTAAACTTGACGAGCCTCCAAAATGGGGATCAGCTAAAATGAATGAAGTAGAAAAATTCTTAAATGATTCTAATGTAACCATTACTCCTATTTGCAATTCTCAAGAATCACCCAAACTTGGAAAAATAACATTGAAGTTACCTAAAGTTGGAAATCCAGAAATTAAATCTGAAACTACAGTTCGTCCAGATGTAAAATCTGAATTGATAAAAAAAATCACTAATAAGCATATTGCTATGGGGGATAGTCCTTTAAAAAATGCTCTTTCTCAACCTTCTAAATCTTTTAGTGATTTTGCTACTATTCGACCTGCACCTAAACTCAGTGCTGAACAAATAGCTCTTTTAGAACAACAAATTTTAAATACCCCCAAAAAGAGAGGTAGACCACCAAAAGCTTTGGCTCAACAAAAACAATTATTATTAGAATATCAACAACAACAACAGTCGACAAAAGTTCAAGAAGGCAGTACTGAAAACGAACCCATTTTTCATGTTCCATTATTTGATATGGAAGACATGAGTGGAGGGGCTGGAATGTTTGATACATTTGAAGCATCAACACCAAAGCGAGGAAAAGGTATCAGAGGAAAAGGTAGCAGAGGGCGAAGAGGACGAGGAGGTCGTGGTGGTCGAGGCGGATCAGATAGTGATACAGCATCAAATAGTCGGCGTATAGATGATGTAGGAGAAATATTTCATGAAGAAATGAATCAAGAAGAAGAGACCAAACAAGTAGCCATGATAGAAGCTGAACGACTTCGAAAAGAAGAAGAACGTGAAAGAAAATTAGAAGCAAGGAAAAAAAAAATAAAACTTCGTAATGATATTTTAAAAGAAAAAAAATTAAAAAAGAAACAAAGAGCAGAAGAAAGAAGACTGCAGTGGCATGAGAAGAAAAGGCTTATGCAAGAAGAAAAGGCTCGAGCCGCTGAGATGAGGAAATCTCTTCCACCACCTTTAAACTTTGATGATGAAACTCGTATGAGTGCTGATTGTAATAATAGTCTATCTCAAACCGCTAGAAATTTCATGATGGGTATGTAAACATATTAATACTTATTAAAGCTTAAAGGATATGTCAGTAATATATATTTTTAGGTGATGAAGATTTATCTATAAGTGGTACCACAAATGATAGTATTAGATTGAAGAAAGGAAGAATGGAAGTCATTGATCTTGAAAGGTAAATTTAATTATATCTTACAGTACATTTTTTTTTTTAAATTAGTATAGAATATTAATGTAGAAATTAATTTATAATAGTAATAAAACATTAACTGTTGATCAAATCGCTGAATACCAATGGCCATTGGATGGCGGAGAATTGTATATGATTCAAGAACAAATATCTAATTTCTTGGGTGTTAAATCATTCAAAAGAAAATATCCAGGATTAAAGCGTCGTAATGTTGAAGCTGAAGAACGAACGTTCTTGTGTGACAGTGGATTGGTTGCTGAATCTTTATGTGATCTAGGTATATTTATATAATAAAAAAACCTTATTATAATATTTATTAATTTTAATGTGTTTACAGGTTTAACAGTTTTGTATAGTTCGGAAGTATTAGATGTCATGTATACAGATTTTCCTGAAAAATATGAAGAACTGAGAGAATATATGAGACTTAAACATGCCAAAGAATTATCTAATCGACAAAGAGGTATACTATTAAAGAATTTCTGTATTTCATCATTAAGCATAAAAATGAAATTGTATTTTAATATATTTATATATTTATCTGTATACCTAAAGCATTGATGACGATTAGTTCAAATAATGATGGGTCAAAGTTAGATTTACGTGATAGAGCTATGGAAGCTGTAGCTAATTGGAATGCCAATTTAAACAAATCCCGTCTAGAGTCACGTAAGTGTTCAATGGATATGCAAACATTTATTGTACATTATCCAAAAAACAAATGTAAGAAAATGACTGTTCCTAAACCTAAAATTGGCAGTTATCCATTGGCTTTATTACCTGGACAATTCTGTGATTACTACGCAACGTAAGAGTTAAAGTAACTAAACTAAAATTTGTTTTGAACTTCTCAAGTTACTTTGTAAATTTTAGATACTCTAGTGAAGATTTACGTTACTTGCCACTGAACACTGTTATGTATGGCCCTTTGAAATCTGTAGATAAAGACTTTCCTGTTTCATTAAGCAGCCAATCTGAATCTGAAGATAGCTCTTCTGACGACTCTAGGTAAACTTAATCATTTGATTTGTTGTTTGTCTAAATTAACATAACTAAAAGTATTTAATTGCATGATGAATATGTAAATAAGCAAGGTTAAAATATACTAAGGTGTAGGACTAATTTCATTGGCAAACATTTAATCAGAAAAGGGTATTTTACAAACTAACCATTTTTGCCATGAAGTGTTCATGTTTAAAATTAATTAATAGTGATAGTGATGATTCAATTGACGTTGACAACAAATCTGACAAAAATTGTTTGGAGTATGGTCCAAGTGATAAAAAAGGAGCTGAATGCAAATTATGTCTTGGCACTGCGGATAAGAACAAAATAGGATCGGTTGAACCATTGATTCATTGTTCTAAATGTTTAACAATTTGTAAGAACAATTTATTAAATTAAAATATACTTAATTTAAATAATGTTTTGAAAAATATTTTTATTTTATTGTTAATTTTAGATCATCCAACATGTTTGGATATGACGTTGGAAATGATTCCCTACATAAAGCGTTACAATTGGCAATGTAATGAGTGTAAATCTTGTGCTCAGTGTAAAGAAGTGGCTGATGAAGATAAAATGTTATTCTGTGATCTTTGTGATAGAGGGTAAGTTAAAATATAATTAAATTTGATGATTATAATTTATAACTATTGTACATTTTATTTTTTGTCTAGATATCATATTTATTGTGTAGGACTTCGTAGAGTACCTGAAGGTCGTTGGCATTGTCAGGAATGTGCCATGTGTAGTTCATGTGGAGTTTCTGATCCAGGACCAGGTGATTCTAAATGGTTTTACGAGGTAATAGTTAAAAATTAACTATATTTTGTTAAAATTAATGTTTGCTATTTTAAATTAAAAGTGTGTAACAGAAATTTCTTTAATTTTTTCTTTTATGATGCTACATTTATTTCAGTTTAAGAAAACCGAAAAAACTGGGTCAAAAGTGTATTGTCGTACATTATGTGCTCCATGTTCCAGGTATATTACATATTGAAAGTTGTTATGAACTTTGAATTTTTTGTTCATACTTTTTGTTAGATGTACATACATTTTATCAGTTATCTTGTAAAAATAATACATTTAAATCATTAACACATTTTTTATTTTAATACTATTAAAATACATTTTAACATATTGGGCATTCTGGTTTGTTTCTGGCCAGGTCATGGAAAAAAGGCCATTTCTGCCCTAATTGCATGCGTTGCTATTCTATCAAAAACGTCGAGCGCATGACACAGTGTAACAGTTGTGATAGATACTTACACTCAGGTATATAACAAAAAGCTTATTGTTGTGATTACTTTTTATCATAACACTAATGTATGATAATTTTAACACATTGTTGACCTGTGTGAATTTCAAAACTTACTAGATAATAATATAAAATGCACATTTTGTTGAAATTATTTAAAAAATAATAGTTTTAAATTATCTTAAATAAACATAAAGGTTATTAAGTATGCATGATACATCTAAATTGTTGTTAAATATAAACTATAATTATATATTTTCGTTTTGAATTTATAACAGCTATTTTTTTTTATAGATTTTTAAAATTATTCTATTAATAAACTTAATTAGATTTCATAAGAGTTTAAAAACTAATTTTCTTTAAAACATTAGATGGGGACACATGATTACACAGAATAAGTTTCACCAGTTAGGCATTTGATATTGTTCTTAAACTTCTTTATGGTTGTATGTATATTTTTTAATTTTTGATTTTTATTTTTTAAATGATATAACATTGAACATGCTTTTTTGACACATCCGTTAGACATTTTTTTTATTTATTATACTTCATTTATGTTAGAAAGTACTTTGGTAGCTACAACTATTGCACAGGGCTGTAGTTTTTCTACAAAACAGGTGTATATATGGTTGACTTAGCAGAGGTGACAGACTAATATTACATGTCTGCCACTTATCAAAACCTAGTTGCAGGGCCGCATTTACACCTGGGCCTTGAGTGGAAAATTTTGTATAAAATGGAAAAAAAATCATAAATATTTTATGCATTTATGTAACTGTGTACATTAATATTATATAATATTTAATATACATATTTAAAAAATATAGAATTAAAACCATAAATTTGAGTAATAAATACTAAATTTTTTTCTTGGGATTGGGATAACATTTTAAAAAGGCCCAGGGCAGCACTTGTTTTAAATCCGGCACTGCTTAATAGCCACCAAGGTTCTTTCTTTAACATGAATAAGAGTATTGGTTATTGTAAATTAATCTAAGCATTTAAATAATTTTTGATAGTAATAAGAGAGTTTTAATGTGTATTTACAAGTTTCATGTACATTAACAGTAATAAGTAATTACTAATTTAAATTTGTTCTGCGGTAATCAGTTTTTATTGATTTTGTGTACAATTATATACAATTTTTTCTATATATCATAATTTCAAGCATAATTTATCTTAAAATAATTTGTGTAATGAACATTTGTAAATTATAATTTAAATACATATTATCTACAATATTACAAAATTCTGCAAGTCATGACAGGTATACTTTTTAATAGTTTTTCATGATATTTAGTTGAAAAAGTTATAATTATTTAGAATTTGATTATCTTTTCTTCTATGTTATCTTAAAGCTAGTTAAAAAATTATTTTTATTTTTCTAAATAATTGCTGATTTGATTAGATATTAAAATGTTATGAAAAATAAAATATAAAATCACTGTAATTTTGTGATTTTATTTTTTGGAAGTTAAGTTATATTTAAAGTTTTAACTCTTCTAATTTCATTGATACATTTTTCATTAAAAAAAAATTATGTAAATTTAGTTCATTAAATTGATGGTAAAATATGCGTTTTATTATATTTATATTAGTATTTAGTGAACATATGTTAATGATTAAACTTCTATGTTTTTCATAATGTGTGAAAGAATAAATTTGTTTTTGGTTAAATCAACATAATGTGGTCGACAATTATGTGGTGGTATTTTAAATAGTAATCATGACAATATTTTATAGGATGGGCCACCTTGTTTTCTCATTGTCTATACAGCCAAATATAGAAAATATGGTGACCAATTCTATATTTTCATAATTTTTATTTTGATTCATTTGAGGTATATTTTTTTTTTTAGAATGCATCAGTGAACGTACTTCAATTAATCAAGTTGTTACATGTACTATATGCGAGGAAAAAGCAGTTTCTAGATTATTAACTACAGTGCCTAGATCCTTGATTAAAGTCTGAATTAAATTGCTAAGTATAGCATATTTTTAACACTAAAAATTTGTTAGTATTTTTTTCAGCTATTTTAATGAGTTAATTAAAATCCGATTTTTGCTCATTAACATGTTATTAAATACTAATTAATTTTATTTTAATATTTTCACTGAAAATTGTATACATAATATTTAAAGAGCAGTTGTATATATTAAAGAAACAAACAATAGCTTGACTGTTGATCAAATCTAATTAAATTTAGCAATAAAATGATTATTAATGAATCCGCGAGTAAACAACAAATAATTTGATATTAGTTTTATAATTAATGAAACTTAAGAACTATGATTAATTAGTCATGATTAAAGCTAATTATACTTGTCTGTTGTTGCCATAATATATCAATAATATTCATATAGCTGTATATATATAAATAAATTAATGAATAATTAGTCTATATTGCAATTTTTATTTAATAAGTTAATTTTTTGAATTATTATTTAATTAACACATTGCACATATTATGTACAAAAAATAGTTCATTAGAACTTGTTTAAAATAATTGCAGTTATATACCTTAGATAAACATAATTGTTTTCATTATATAATATTATAGAAATGGTAACAATTTGGAAATAACCATGTGTACAACAGTATGTGTTTTATTAGTATTCTACACTATAACTCATAATTGCTTTTTTTTTTTAAATTAAGTCTTGTAAATTATATTTGTGTTGTATACATTGTTGAGCAATTCATTTTATTTTATTGATTAAATAATATAATTACTTAATTATTTTTTTTTAACAAAAATTATATTTATAATGACACGCTTCTTGTTAGATTAATAGTATTATTCTTATGATAAAGTATAATATTTTCTATGGAAATATGTTAATGCAAATTATCTTAATGTATTCATATTATTATGTCATATGCTTATTTTACCATAGTTTACCTTTTAATGAACTAAAAATTTATAGATTTCAAACATGATGTATTATAATTAGTTTTTTTTTTTTTTTAATATAAATATATTATTTACTAATAGTATGATTTTTCTTTAGAATTTTAAGGTTTATATAAAAAAATATTCCTAAATTTTAAAAGTTTCTTTGGTTGATAACACAGTAGTGTACCTAGGATTTTGAATTGAAGCAGGATGTATGTATTTATTCTGATGTCATTAACTGTAGGAAGGCTGCAGGCTGCACTCCATCACTACCCATATTGGTTTACAGCAACTTATTATTTATTGTATTATATAATTTATTAACATGATTAATATAAAATTACTTAAAACATATAGTGGCAGATTAAATGTATTGCTGAGACAAAATTGAATAATTATTAGATATAACAAATATATATGCTATTTAAACATTATTTGTTATTGTATGTAATTCATTTTTTTATTTTTGGAACACTTATTAATGATGTACCAATGAGGCAAAACTTATTTATTCTATTCTCAGTTATTAATTTTCAAAATAACTAGATACAAAAAAAATTGTAGAAAGTATTCTGCTTTGCTGTTTATATAAAAAAAAAAACTACTTTAACTTTGCAAAAACAATTTCTAAGTATAATAGTTAATATTATCAAAGTACAAAATATTCAAAGAAGTTTAATATAATTGGATAAAATAATCCATCACAAATTTATAATGCATGTAATCATGATTCATAAATTATTTTTTTAATAATTAACTAGTTTCCAGTTTCATAATTGCATTGGATAATAATTGTAATTTTAATTAAACTACAAGCTATTAAAAGAAATTTATATTTGTAGTTCGGATGTTAAACATATAATTGTAGGTAAGAACTATATAGTAAATACTTCTATCATTTATTTTCTCAAAATTAACACAAAGTGTGAATTACTGTATTGATGTTACTTGATGGCAATACATTTTTAAGCCAAGTATTAACCTGTTTTTTCTATATAGTAAAAATACTCTTATACTCATATTAATATGCAAAACAGTTAAGTTAGTTATTAGGAGACCCATCATTTCCTTTAAATTTCCTTTAAACTAAAATATTTAAATGTGCATTGTTTATGGACATTTTACTTTTTACTAAATAAATAAAAAAATATTGAATCAATCAATGAAATAAGGTAAATATAAGAGATCAAATAGTATAATATACCTAAATTATTTTTTTTAATTGTAAATTATATAAAATTAATTTTATTGATCAACTATTATTAACTCATCAATTCCCCAATCTTCATAGCTATTGTCTGGCAAATATCTTCTGATAATAATAGGTATTTTACGTTTTTTCAATTCTTTCATTGCAATTTGTAATGGATCAGTTTCGCCTTCAAGTTCTACCATGACAGGAGCACACATTGCTATCTGTAAAGCTCTTGTACCTAACACCCGAGCTCTTTCATACCTAAAATAAATAAGTATGTAAAATATTATTTAAAAAATAAGTAATTTTTTATCAATAAATCAATCAAAATAACAAGATTCCTAAAGAATACCATCATTCATCATTTTTTTTTTTTTATAATAACTTAATATTTGAGATTTTAATACTATGTAATTTTCGAAAACATACTTTGTCATGTATTTAGTTGTAATTCGTTTGGACTTTTGAACTTGACTTTGAGCTTCTTGAATAGGTAATATATCAATGTTATCTTCATTTTCCTGTTAAGAGTTTAAAATTAAAATTCATACATGTAAGTAATTAAATTTAATTTAAACATTAAATACCTAAAAATAAAAATTGAAACTATTAAATAGTTTTTTTTAATCAGTTAAATCAATTATTGCAAAAATTTTAAAATTAAAATTATCATCAAGGATCAAGATTAAATTTAGAATAAAAATGAATTATTATTACTTCAGGTTGATCTAATTCATCTAAGTCTGCATCATCTTCAACTTCGTCAAAATCGTCTGCGCCACCACTGAAAAAATTATTTATGATACTTTAAATCAGGTTACTAGATTAGGAGGAAATATTATAATTCACAATTGCATTTTGTATAAATTAATACAAGTTTAAATACACACAATTTTGATATATTTCTTAAATGTATAGGTGTAAAGATTAAGTAATAGATTGCCACAGAGTAGATAAATTAGATGGTAAACATTGAACACTAATAATTTAAACTTATTTTAATAATTTGGGTACAATACACTGTAAATGTTACATATGTGATAACGATGGGACCTAAGTTATTAGCTGGAAAAAAACTTACTCATCGTGTTCAAATTCTTCGTCAGCCATTTATACGATATTACAATAAGAAAAAATGTAATAAAAATTTCAAGTAAAAATAATAATGAATGACAAAAATTACGACAATGAATTGACAACTGATTACTGAACAAGTCGCGAGGCGCGAAGATATAATTTCGTGGTATTCAGTATTCACTATTCACTATTCTCTTGATAGTTGATAGTTGATGAGCATAACCAACATGACCGAACCAAGTCGAACAAACCTATTTGTATTGATACCATGGTTGTAATTTTATATGGTTATAAGAAATGGTATCAGAAGTTCATTATCAGTCTATTTTTTGATTGGCCAAGTCTAATTGTGCATATTTCATGGATGCTTCCAGTGCCCGCCCCGAATGACATATCAAAAAAGCTATATTCCCTGATCGCATTTAATTAATTAATTTTTTTTATTTACAATTTTCACTCAAGTTTTATCGTAGTATTAAACCGTCTGCGTTCTTCACGACTCGACGATTCTTCGTTAGAGAAATCTAACCGTAAATAATTAAAAATCGTCGAATCATTCGTTATATTTGTAAGTATTTATCTATCCCTCCAGCGACTGATTAATATGTCTTCAATTCTTTGTTTTTGCAGAACAGTCAATCAACAGGCTCCTGCGAACGACTACAATATGACTTCTTCCTTTGACGAAATCAAAAACTTGTACCAGACGTTGAAGACGGAATGGAATAAAAAAAAACCAGATTTTAAACAATGTAATAATATATTGTTACAAATCAAGGTGAGTAGAACTGAATTGGAGAGTCTTGGTCTCAATAAGAGAAGGTTTTTTTTCAAATTTAATTCATGTAGTTTTAAATATTTTGATACTTAGAAGTTCTTTTTAAATATTTAATTCATATATATATATATAATATTCATATATTCAATAAATCGAATTTTATGAATAACACAAATGTTTTAAACTTATATTGTTCAATCAGGTTTTTAACAAATGTTACGTGTAGGTGTCATTTTTCCATACTATTCATAATAATATAAACTAATTTGTTCATTAAGTTGTGTTTTTTTATGAATCAATAACTTAATGACATTAATATAGTTGCATTAACTTCTATATTTTACGGTAAATATTCAATTTTTCCAGTTTAAATAAATATTAGATTATAATTAAAAGAATAAAATTAATAAATAATTTTGTATCGTATTTGAAAAATCTTATTTATGTAATGTTCTGATATTATAATAAGTTATCAGTATATGTCTTATTTTCATAATGAAATAGATGCTGTTAAGAAAATATATTTTAATATAAGACTATACTATTTAATATAGTCAAGATTTATCAATAAAATAAAAATTGTAATTATGAGTAAGATTAATTAAGTACTTGATTCTAATTTACAGGTTGGAATGACAAAACACACCTTTTTACCAACTTCTAATGTGGAAGCTTCTCAAAAAGAATACCTCATAGCTAGTAAGTTTATATTATCATTTTCTGATTTTGAGCAATAGTCAGTAGGCTATTCATTAATGATATTGCAATAATTTATTTATGGTAAATATTTTTGTACTAATAATAGCCATTATACATACTAATTAAAAATTGAACACAAATTTTGTTTTTTAACAAAAACCTAATAAACAATTTACTTTTTTTTTTGTGAAATAACTGTCAATTTTTAAGTAAGAAGTTAATTGGTTAATTGCTTTTGATTTTCATCATATTTTAAACATTTAAAAATTATTTTTATATACATTTAAAGTTTTTCCAACAACTAAATATATCTATTAATTGATTCTATCACTTAAAAATTGTAGTCAAGTATTTAAAACCATCATGATTGGTTAATTTTTTTTATAATTACATTTGATTTAGTATGACAATATATCAGATTATAACCAATTATATTGTGTATTTATAGGAGACATCTTAGAAGTGGGGGTACAATGCAGTATTGCCATGCATGATATTCCATCTTTTGAACGGTATATGGCACAACTCAAGTGTTATTATTTAGACTACAGGTGAGCAAAATTTAACAATATAATATTGAATAAAACTTTTCACTTAAAATAATTTTTCATGTTTATCCAGGGATAAATTACCAGAGTCTGCTAACCAATATCACTTGTTAGGTCTGAACTTACTGTTCTTATTGTCTCAAAATCGAGTAGCTGAATTTCATACAGAATTGGAGCTTCTCCCATATGATATTGTACAAACCAATACATACATTAAGCATCCGGTTGCATTAGAACAATATTTGATGGAAGGCAGCTATAATAAAGTAATTTATATGCCATACATTAAATTAATACCTGTTGTGTTGGATATTAATGTATAATTGTGTTTAATTTTCTAGATATTTCAAGCAAAGAGTAATGTGCCATCTGATACTTATAATTTTTTTATGAACATTTTGTCAAACACACTCCGTAATGAAATTGCTGAGTGCTTACAAAAAGCATACAAAAAAGTGTCTATAAATTCTGCTACAAAAATGTTGAACTTCAACAGTACAAATGAAACTAATGATTTTGCTAACAAGATAATTTAAAATGAATATGAATAATTTATATGCATTGTATGTAAAAATTATTATTTATTATACAGAAAAAATGGATTTTGGGTCAAGATGGTTACTATGTATTCCACCTTGAAGAAGAGAAGAAAGCTGTAGAACCTTTGCCTGCATTACAGATTGCTGATTATGCTATTCATTATGCTAAAGAATTAGAAACTATAGTTTAATAAATTAAATATCTTTACACGGATTTTTTAATTGATTATTTGAAATTAAGTTAAGAAATATCAAATTTTTTAATACTAATATAATAGTTTGGAATTTTTTTCAAATTATTTTGTATATAAATGATTAAATATAAAAATAATTTGTAATACCAAACCATAGTTTTTGTTATTACATGGTTAGCAATTGAGAAAAACATTATTTTTATTCATTTGTATGACTATATTATACAGCCTATTCTAATGAATTGATTACAAACATTATGTTTTGGTAAAATTATAGTCTTTCCATATTTCTAGAAATTTGGTAGTTTTCTGCAACTGCTCTTCAATTGGTTCTTTTTGTCTCTTTCGCCATGCATTGTGATCTAAATCCATCATTCCACCTATGATTTCCTATGAAGATACATTTATTTATATATACTAAAACTTCAATATCAAACAATTCAAAATATTGTACAATTATTAATTTTAATTGAAAATAAGAAAAAAACTAATATCTGGAAAAAAAGTCTCAGAATGCAATTTTAGTTTCATACAGAATCTAAGTATTTAAATATCTTTTAGATAGTTTGAGTAATTTATATGTATATTGAATTAAAGCTAATATTAATTCAAGTACACAAATACGTTATTAATAAATTTAGTAAAACAAAAATTATTTATTTTTTTTTTTTTAACAATATTTTTAACTTTAATTATCAATATTTTTTTAAGTTTAATTTTGTTCTACAAAACATGATAAGCTACATTTTGTGATCATTTATGGCTATTTCATATTTTAAAGATCTAAGTCTTTTGAACTTTTTTCCAAATATTTTATTCTTTGATACTTATTCTACTTTTTATTCAAGAAGACTATTAGTTTACCTCAGCAAAGTTATTTGGGAAAATTTTTTCATCCTCAATGACATGAGCATATCCACCTTGCATTCCAAAATCAACGGCGAAATAGGGCAAACTTTTAGGAACAGCTCTACGCACATCTTTACTACTTAAGTCCACGACTTTTTGATTAATAGCCCACTCCGTCTCGCATTCTAAGATAGCCTTTTTAAAATATATAGGAGCGGTGTCACCGATTTCAATCGGTACAGGTACACAGTTCCATACCATGTGAGGCATATTGTTTAGTCGCATTGCACTTTCAAAAAATATTACGTCTTCATCTTGATCTTTAAACATGGAAGTCAATACTTTTCGAAATACCTAAAGTAATGTCTTGTTATTATCAAAGAACAATTTAACACTTTATTAACTAGAATGGTAAATGTTATACCTGCATTTCAGTCCAAACGTCTTCGTCAATATCAGTTGCACATGCATAGTGGTATATTGGTACAATTAAACAATGTCCTTCTGTTAAGGATTTATAATTTGGCAAGCACAGATAACACTATAAATACAGAAATTAAAAATCAATGTTCAATATTAAAATTAAATAAACATTGTGAACTAGTGTACCTTTTCTCCTTTAGCGATAAATAAATGTTTTAACATTTCTTCACTATCAAAGCAGTAACGACATGAATTTAAAATTTTTTCTGTACGTTTATGTTCACCAATAGCTCTTTTAATTTCCCTTTCAGATGCTTTGGCAGATCGCTTTTCTGATGCACGATCTACAAATACATCATCTTCGTCATCTCTAGCATTAACCTAAAATTAATGTTCAAAATTACAATTAAATCATGAAATTGTCAAATAATTATTTAATTAACTTTTTATTTAATTTATTTGAATTACTATTTATTTTATATATTAAAATATTAACCTTTCTCGATAGATTAACAAACTCCATATTACTATCTCCTGCTGTAGAAGTCATTTCTTTTTCAAACTAAAATAGTGTATAATAAAAGTTATAAGTAAAAACAATTTAATAAGTTTCAAATATTTTTACAGTTTTTTTTATTTTACTAAAAACTTACCATAGACTTTAATGAATATTTATCATCATCATCAAAGTATCTCACTCTTTTACCATCTTCATGTGTCAATACTTTCTCTCGTTTTTTCCTTTTACCATCATTTTTATCACCTTCTGCTTGTTTAACAGGATAACTATAACCTTTAGATGAAGTCCTAGTAAGTAATACAAATTCTTCTTTTTGTTTTGTTTTATTTGTAGTGAAGTTTTGTTTTGAAGCATATTCTCGTGCTGATTCCAACTTTTTCTGAAGTTCTTCAGCCAGTTTCTATCAATAAAAAGTATAGTTAAAAGATTAAAGTATGTTATAATATTACAAGAAAAATAATAATTCATCTTAGATGTGTACTTTGAAAACAAACTTATAATAAATTAAAAAAAATGTTGTTCTATTTTTAGAAAATATTAAACTTACCTTATTTCCCATTATTTCTGCTTTTATTTGTTTAGCAGCAAGTGCATTTAATTCAGAATCTGTTAAAGGATTTTCTACACTTTCTTTTTGTTCATTAGTTTTGTCATTATGATCTGAATGTTTTTTAGGCAATTTTTTTTCTTCATATTTTTCATCATCAGATGTGTATTTTTCTTTATTGTCAGAATCTTTGTTATGTTTACTTTTGCTATCTCTTTTATGGTCTTGTTCTCTAGAATATTTATTTTTAATACTTTTTTTTTCATCTTCATGTTCTCTATAGCGTTTATCTCTTTCTCCTTTACTTTCATGATCATAATCTTTATGTCGTTTATCTCTTTCATCTTTTCTTTCATCAAATTCTCTATGCCTTTTATATCTTTCTTCATTATCTCGTTTTGAAGTAGTATATTTACTATTATTTATATTATCTCTGCGATCATGTTTTTTCCAAGATTGACGACCATAAGAAGTTTTTGAATAATTAGAATGCTGATGAATTTTATAATGATGATCATCGTCATCATCTACTTTAGGTTTAAGGAAACCTTTGTGACTACTTAATGACTTCGGTGGTGGAAGACCAGTTCCTCCGTTTTTCCAGTATGGATTTAGTTCTCGTTCTGATTGACCTGGCTAAAATAAATATTAATGATAATAATAAATATAATTAGTGAAAATGATAATATACTTGAATCATTCTTGCTTTAGCTTCTTCTTGCTCTTTACTCTTTGTGCTGATTTTTTTTTCAATTTCTGAAGACGTATTACACACAAAATCCATCCAGTTATCAGGTTCATCTTTAGATGCAGCAAATGATGTGGAAGTTGACAATTGATCTTTCTGGCACTTCTCAACCCATTGATCATCATTTGATGTAGAACTACTAGATGATGGAGATCTCTAAATAGAATAAAACATGTTAATAACGATCAAATACTATTTGATGAATCAATTCTAATTGTCATCATTCATCACAAATCACAATAACTACTCACATGTTTTTTTTTTTTGTGTTCCTTTTTATGCGATTTTTTTCCCATTTTCAAGATTACTGGCTACCACAATATCGGTGTTTATTCCCAACTCTCGGCGTCTATTTTCTTGACGTTCAATGTCTTTTACAACACCTTCGTGCAACTTAATTAAATCGTCTTGTTGTTGGTAATGTACAAATCCAATGATACCTGCCGATGCGAAACAAGATAGTCCAAATACTATTTTAGAAGTCGTTGACATATTAATACGGATTAAATTAATATATTTCTTTAACGGGCATCAAGACTTTAATTCTAGAATAGAAGATAGAATAATAGTCAATAGTCACCCAACATATTTTTATCTATATTGAGGAGTGTAGTTTAACTGGCATTTGGCAACCACATCCAGATTGACAACGATGTTCAAATACTCATTGATAATAACACATAATAATAAAGGATTGTTGTTTGTTTACACCATGATAACGGTTATCTAACATAATCATAAAAATATTAAAAATTAATAATATATTAATTATTAATATATCAGATATCTCCTCAATCCTCAGTTATTAGGAATTAGGATGAATAGAATAGGATGGTCTAACAAACAACTCTAGATACCTACTTAAAATGTTCACCATTTGCCATTTGGCATTTACCAAATGTTTACCTATATTATCTTAGAATAAATTTAAATTAAATTTATTTTGTGATTGATTTTAACATTCTATATACATTATACATTTATATGTCATAGTAATATGGTATAATAATTTTCGAAATGTTGACTCTTTTTGAGCTATTCATGGCATTAATTTTTTTTTAGTAGGTATTTTTTTATGAATGTCGATAAAAAAAAATACGAATTTGGTCAAAAAGTTTGAAAATTTAAAAGGATGTTTGCGCATTGTATGTATTTTCTCTCTGGCTTACGCGTAACATGGACAAAATGCATTAAGAGAATCATTTTTTAAATATTTTTGAGTAATTGTAGAGTAAAAACATGTATTAAAAAAATTATATATTAAAATTATGTTTAAAATCGTTTTGAGAGAGTATTTAAATAAATCTATTTGTCATATCCTCAAAAATAATATTCTCTATAATTTTTGTTATGGATGATTTAACTCTAAAATTACTCAAAAACACCAAAAATATGATTAAGTATTAATGCGTTTTGTTTATGTTACGCGTGGGCCAGAGAGAGAAAACAAACAGTGCGCTGACATCGTCTTAATGCAAGGTTCGAACAGTTCCATATTATATGTAATATGTATTGATGCCAAGAATGAAAGAGTACAAACGAATTTGTACATTAGGTATCAATAACAAGACGATTTAATTAAAGTTGCACGAAAGTGTTGTAAAGGACATTCAATGTAAGGAAAATAAACGTCGAGAGTTCGGAATAAATATACCAATTATTACCGATATTTAGGTAGCTAGCGATCTTCAAGATGATTAAAAACTCGCATTAAACCCTATGAGCGTTTAATATTAATAGTACATGTCTAACTTAAATATTAACACATAACATAATAATTTTCAATCAAATTACCTTAGGTATCTGGGTACATTTTAACTGAAATAAATAGAGCAAAAATGTTAGTAACATTCCAATGTAATTTTAATCATAATTTTCTGTATCCAATGACATTTTCGAAATATTTAAACTAATTTTGAACTATTTATAAACATTTGAAATTTTCTAGTTTTTTTTTTTTTAGTGGTGATAAAAATATTTAGGCTTGGTCAAAAAGTTTGAAAATGTAGTTTAAGATTAATTCTTTAAAATATAATAAAAATATATGTTATGTTATTTTCACAAAGGTTAGGTGATCAAATTATGATAAATTTGAAATTAGAAAATTATTTAAGCAAAAAATAATAATTTTAATTCATCATTAATTCAAAAATATTCGTGGCTTTATAGTGCTTAACATTTTTATGTATTATAATAATATACTTTATACTATGTAAGAATGTAATATTTTTAGTAAAAATGGATTCAACCTACCATATACAAATAGTACAATTAATTACTTTGGTAATCAAATAAAATGTACATGATAATATTTAAAAGTTTGTTATGCTGTCTTCACTCAGAATCTTTTATCTAATGCAATAATATATCATTAAGTTAATATTTAATGTATTCATTACAATGACTTACTCAATGATGATGTACACTTGACACTGACAGTACACAGTATGGGTGGTACAGCAGAGTATTTAGAAATTTTTAATTCAAGGGATTAAATGGGTCTAGATAATTTAACTAAAATAGTGTCGTATAGGGCTGGGTTCCCAGATTTTCAATGAACTAAAACAGACATGGTATTTATTGGAATGCATAAAGCAAAAAAAAAAAAAATGTTTTAAAAATTATAAATATGTAACAATTAATTGTCTTAAATATTCTATAAAGATTTTTTGCAATAATTAATCAAAACTACAAAATTAAGTATGGTTGTATCCAAAATATGTGTGGAGAGTACGGATCTAAAGGACCATGTGAGGTATACAAATACAACACTGGTAAGAGTAGAGCAGTACTCATTTGATAATTTATGTTTTTTTTAATCACCTAGTCTAAAATATATTTACTATTATCATTTTTTTAGTTATACAGTTGAACTTGTAAATTATAACAACTATTAACTAAAATAATAAATATTCAAGAGATTAATATTTTATATTTATATATCTGATTTTGAGTATTGTTATTAAGTTAATATTTATCTAATGATTTGAAGTTCATTTAAATTTTTTTTCTTATAATTTTTCGCAACAGCTATATGTGTTTACACTTCTCCCAAACAATGTTTAACTCAAATTAAACATGAGTTTTGTATGGGTTTACTTTATAAAATTACTTATATTTTTATACTACAAAAAATAATATGTCTGTTAAATTGTTCAATAATCATTAACAATAATATAAATAAATTAAGCCTTTAAGGGAAATCACAAATTAAAAAAAAAATAAACAAATATATTTACATAATTACATTTAATTATTTAAACTATATATTCTTTATAATTTCTTTAGAACATTTTTGAATATAATAATAAAAATAAATCACAGTGTATAAAATTCCATTAAAATCATATGAATGAGCTGCCTTATAAAAAAGTGATTTTTAATGGTAAAATACCAAAAAAGTTGTAAAAAAATAATATACAAAATTGATAAAATTTTAAAATGAAAAAAAAAACAATCAAATAATTTCAACAGTTAAAAGTAATAAAAGATCTTAAACATAATAATAATTAATAATAAATTGTAAAAAAATAGTTTCAATTATTTTATAATATTTAACATTTTGCAGACCTGAATTGTAGCGAAGAGATCAGATTCAAAACATTTTTGACACTTAGAGCCAATATACCATGTAGGCCGAGTTGATGGCAATACCATTAATTTCTTATCCATTTTGTGTGTTTTGTATCTTCTATTCAGCGAATCCATCATATATTTAAAGTCTCCAATTGGATTGCTTTTAAAATACTAAAACAGGAATAAAAATAAATTACTACTGTGTATTGTCTGTATATATTTTAATAAAAAAATATAATGTAAGATAAACCTTATTAAAGAATGTTAAAATCTTTACTAGATTTTATTTACAAAAATTTAATTACATTAAATTATACACAGTTATATAATATAAAGTAATAATTTTCAAACATATTTTTGATGTGGATAAAAATGCTTAGCACCTATGTAAATATTTTTTAAATTAAATATGGAATAAAATTTTATCAATACATTTGTGTTTGTATGTTTATTGAATGCAAAATATTTTACTTGTTTTTTTTTAGGATCTTGCAGAGCTAACCATATGAAGGTGGCTATTAAACAGAACAGTTTATTTGCTGAACCAAATTTGCCACAACTCATCTTCATCATTTTGATAAGTTCTTTGATCATATCAGCATTTACAGTTCTCTGAAACAAACCCAAGTATGGATGAAATATAATGAATCCAACTTAATACAAATAAGTAATTTAACCCACTGTCCAAATAATCCATGACGTTTCATGGTACTTGAGCAAATTGATGAGTACCCGGATGGCAGGTTCACGGGCCTCAATACTTGGTTGTGATTGATTGGAATACTGTAGAAAATGGAAAATGTAATCTACAATTGCACCATCAGCTGTCTTCATACTTAACTCTTTGGATAACGACGTGCAAGTGTCTAAAATACAAAAATCTGGAATTAATAAACAATTGTTTGGGAGTGAAAAGCTTACAGACACACTTACCTAAATTCCAGAAGACTGTTGCCAGTTCTTTATACGAGTATTCATTTTTTTTTTGCTTATTTAATATGTCCACCACTTCATTGTGTCTCCTGCCCAACGTCTGGGCACTTCTTCTGGGCATTCTGACAGTGTCACGTCGACATTGGTACTTTTTCCGAACACAGTAACCTCTCCAAAGGGCCTAATAATAACCAAACCAAATTCAGAATTATGTAAATTGTTTAACTAAATCATACCTATATATATATTATATACCTGTATTAATGTGATGGCACAAGTACGTTTCTGAGTTATCAACTCGTCTCTGATCTTGGGAAATCTCTTGCGGGTTAAAAATCCTCTAACAGCTGCTTGTATTTTAGATGCAGCTTTGTATTTCTCCTACATGTAATACAACAACATGGAATAAGACGTGCAATAATACAACGAATAAACATTTACCTGTTTAGAATCAGCCTCGAGTTTTCGTTCGGCCTCCAGACGGTGCCTGAGCTGCGGCCACTGGCGGCGGATCAAGCATCCTCGGATATGTGCCTGCAACAGAACCACTGCTCGGAGTGCTTTGCAGTCTCTGTACCATCTCTGCAACACGATCGTACACCGTCTCAAACGAAGGTATTCTGCACGGTCACGTCTCCTCGCGACCATGGCCCTGTACCGGGTCTGCACCGCGACCACAGCTCGTCTCAGGCGCAAGTACTCGGAACGTTCATAGGTGGTGGGCAGGCACTGACGCAGAAACCTCTTGATCGTGTCGCTGGCTGTGACCAGCCGGTTTCGGTGCACTCGCAAGTCGCGTTTCACGACAGGCCACCGGACGCGCGCCTGACGTCGCCGGGCGCAGGCCTGCAGCAAGACAGCCGCGTGGCGGACACGCAAGTATTCTGCTCGATGACTTCTCGCGGCCTGGTTCGCCCGAAATCGTTGCTGCACCGTCATGGCGGCATAGCGCAGTTTGGCGTACTCGCGGGCTTGTCTACGGGCCCGGAACCAGCGCTGGACCACGATCGCGGCACGCCGTACCTCTAAAAACCGCCGTCGATCGCCGTCGGCCAGCCGCCTCATCAGCGCTCGCTTGACGGTGTCGGCGCTCCGCGTCAACAGCAGGCGGCGATCGGTCAACTCGGCCATCAGT